AAAGTTCCTGTGAAATTGATTGAAACAGATCTATGCAAAATCATCCCGAAGGGACATGAATCCCAGGCCAGCAGGATTGGCCTGTTATTTGATGGAAGAGGTGGTCAGTTGTGGAAGCAGAGAAAAAGGACCATCTTTAAGACAAACATTGGTAGTACTCCTCCAAGTATTCTGGGCGAGAATCCCAGTCAAATGCCTCTGAATATTGCAACTCTACTGGCAAAGACATTCTCAAAGTGAACATTTGGGGATTATAGCCAATGAACTTCCCATGTTTCTAGCTCTTTTAGCATGACATGAGTGTCTGTCCCTATTGTGGTGTTCATAAAGCAAGCTATGATAGCCTGACATCTTTAAATGTTGAATTATTCTAATGTCCTTGGTTCTGACTTTAGGTTCACCAAGCAACAGTCTAATTAGGATCTTGAACATCTACTTTACGTGAGGGCAAAATGGGCTGGCCGCATGGATGTGACCTGATGTGACATCCATTGCTTATTGCAAATTAATAAAGTGACTTTTCTGGCTTGATGTAGTTTTGGCAGAATGATTTGTTAAAGTATTGGTTTTATTTCATTCTCTCTATATTTTTCTCTTCTCTACAGTCTAAAAGGTAGTAAGGCCTCACAACTCCCTATCACAGGGATTTTGGCAGCCCAAAAAGTAGAGGACAAAAAGTGGCTTCAAGTTAGTGGTTTTTCCCACCTTCTAGAAAAGCTAAGCTGATGTTGGGTGTCCTAGAGATCTGGGAGAGAAAGGGTCTTAGAGAAGTAAGAGGCTTCTTTAGGAGTTTCTCTGAGGCTGGAGTGGGAGAGATGTCAGAACCTGAGAAAGTGCAAGACTTAGGAGGGAAATGACTGCTTGGAGTGCTTAGGGAAGCTGGATCATAGCACTGAAGACTCCTGAGTCCCATGCATCACAAAAGCCACAGTGACCATTCATGGTGGTCACTTGGACTACAACAGTGGATGTCTTGGCAGTAACCAGGCCAACAGTGCCTTTGCAAATAATTACTTAGATTGAATTTCCTCCATCTAATAGGATGGGGGTTTGGAGTTCAAAGTAAGTTAATAGAAAGAAATGACTTTTCTTACACATCTGAGTGTGGCTGAGATTGTTGTGCATAGCTTATCAGGTTATGAGTTCAGTTAATGGGAATCAGTTAAGGCTCAGTCTGCAAGAAAATCAGGTGTTTGAACCTGAAAATTCGAGGGCCAGAGACTGGTCTATGACAGGAAGTGCCATTCTGTAAGGACTCTTAGAAATATGTTTCTTCCTTCTTGAAACAGTGGACACCTGCCATAAACACCCCCTCTATGCATACACAACCCCTCTTTACCTTCACCATATTTTGATGAATTTCTACAAATTCTACCAATCTTGCAAATGTTTAAGTTATCATTTTATACAATTTAGAAAGAAAGAATTGATTTTGCTAATAAAGGTAACTTTAACCGCCAAATATGATTTTATTATAGGGTTTAGCGTATTTCATAGCATCTATTTTTTTAAACTTTATTATGAAATAATTATAGATGCACAGGAAGTTGTAAATAGAACAGGGAGGTCTGATGTATCTTTCACCCTGTTTCCCACAGTGGTAACATCTTGATACAATCAACAGACTTTATTCAGATTCAGATTTCACCACGTGTGCATGTATATGTTTGTGTAGTTCTATACAGTTTTACCACATGTAGAGATTCATGTAACCACAATCACAATTAAGATTTTGACTGCTTTATTTCCACAAAAATCTCTCGTGCCCACTTATGCTCCTTTTCTCCCCTAACCCAAATCCCTAGAACCACTAATCTGTCCTCCATCTCTATAATTTTATCATTTTGAGAATAGTATATAAATGGAATTATATAGTAGTCAATCTTCTGAGATTGTCTTTTTTTCCCCACTTAGCATACTATATGTAATCTTTTTGAGATCTATCCAAGTAGTTTGTTTCTTTTTATTGCTGAGTAGTATCCCATGAGATGACATACCATAGCTTAACTATTCACCCATTGAAGGATATTTGGGTTGTTTCCAATTTTAGGCAATTACAAATAAAGCTACAGTAAACATTCTTGTAAATGTAGACATAAATTTCTATTTCTCTGGATAAATACCCAGGAGTGTGATTGCTGGTCATGTGGTTAGCGTATATTTAATGTTTTAAAAAATTGCCTATTTTGCAGAGTAGCTGTACCATTTTACGTTATCATTAGCAATATAGTATAATAGAGCCAATTCCTCTGCCGGCATTTGGCTTTGTCACTGTGTTTTATTTTAGCCTATGTTGAATATATTTTTATTTGCCATCTGTATATCATCTTTATGGAAATGTATCTTAATGTCTTTTGCCCATTTTCTAATTGGATTATATGTTCCTTACTGTTAATTTTTAAGTGATTTTTTAAATAGTCCTCTACAGATGTTTGATTTGCAATACTTCCCGAAGTACTCTTTGGTTTGCAAGCACTTTCTTCCAGTCTGTAGAGATTTTACCTTTTCATCCTCTTGGAGGATGTTTTGCAGAGCAAAAGTTTTTAAGTTTAATGAAGTCCCATTTATGAGTCTTTCTTGTATGGATTATGCTTTGAGTGTGACATCTAAGAACTCTTCACCTAGCCCTAGGTTCCAAAGATTTCCTCCTTTGTTTTCATTTAAAAATTTTATCGTTTAATATTTTACATTTAAATCTATGACCCATTTTGAGTTAATAGAAGGTGTGGGGTTTAGGTTGAAGTTCATTTCTTTGCCTATAGACATCCAGTTGCTCTAGCACCATGTGTTGAAAAGACTATCTGTCTTCCATTGAATTGTTTTTGCACCTTTGTTAAAAATCAGCCAGCTGTACTTATGTAAATTTATTTCGATCTACTATTTATTCCATTGATCTATATATCTATCCCTATACCACTTACCACACTGTTTTGCTTATTGTAGTCTTAACATTTAAGATCCATTTAAAAAAGGCATTTCTCTGAATAATAGCGATATTTACTTATTTTATTATGTTTTTCTACTATATTTTTTTAAAAAAATATTTTTTATTGATTTCAGAGAGGAAAGGAGAGGGAGAGAGAGAGATAAAAACATCAATGATGAGAGAGAATCATTGATTAGCTGCCTCCTGCACACCCCACACTGGGGATTGAGCTCACAATCTGGGCATGTGTCCTGACAGGTAATTGAACCATGACCTCCTGGTTCATAGGTTGATGCTCAACTACTGAGCCACACCGGTCAGGCAAGCTATCTTTTTTTTTTTTTGAATGCTTATATTTGCCAGGTCTTCTTATAAGTACTTCACATGCATAAACTCATTTAATCCTTACAAAATCCAATGAGATGATAATATTTGGCCCATTTTATAGATGAGAAAACTGAGTTCAGAGTCATTAAGTAACTTTAAGAGACAGATTTGGAGCTCTGGCCCATACCATAGCCACTATGCTTTATTGCCTCTCTTAAGTGAACAGATTTCTCTCTCCTCACAGAATTGTTTTTATTGGACTCTGCATTGGCATTTTGCCATCAATCTACATTGAGAGACATGATAAGAAACAGCTCTAAGAAACTTATTATTGCATTTACTGTAGGCAAGTTGATGAGGATTTGGTTGACTATGTCACATGGTGTCCTCTTTAGGAGGACGGATGGGAAAAATGTCTCTCAGATCTCAGTACCAGGAATAGATATATTTCTCCTGAATAAGTGGTTTGTTTTTATCTCTCGGACATTGTGAAACTATATAAATGATTACATTTTCCACTTTGTGCTGGCTGCTAAAAAGCTCAGAACCAAATTGTCAGCCTATCTTTAGCAATGATGTGTACCGCCTCTAATATTACTTCTGACTTCATTTTTGTCTACCCTAATTTTCCTTTCTCCCTCATTTCCTCTCTAACTCGCTTTTTTTTTACTTTAGTCTTTTTTCAAAATGAAAAATACACAAGCTCTTTGTATAAAAAGTCAAATAGAAAGCTTTTAACATCAACAACAAAACAAAATGGCAGTCCCTTTGCCCACTCCTCCCACCTCTGATTTCTTCTCTACAAAGCCAAATAGATTCATATCTTTTAGTTGTTTATTCTGGGGCTTATACTTGTTTTTTTTGTTTGTTTTTCCCCCTTGACTTTTCAGTTTACGTATTACCTCTTGATTTCCTCATATGGGGAAAAGATTTCATTTTTTTTTACAACACTCTACATACCCTTCACCTATATCCATCCTTCCATTTTTAAGATATCACAATTTTGGTTAAACCTGTTTTCAGTGTTTGCATTGCTGTGCCTATGGAAATATTGTTCCTAAATGAGCTGCTTCCTGTTCCCTTTGCATTGTATATAATCATTTTGTTTGCCCCTAGGTTAATAATTGTCTCTTTTAAACCTCAGTTTCCATACTGCAATCACTAATTTCAGCCAAGTCCTCTGACAGAATTATAAATCTCTCTATCCGTTTTGTTTGTTTTCTCATAGACATCTCTTCTGACGCCACCCTGAGCCTTTCATTGTCCAGCTCCCGTCTGCACCAACTGCTTGCTAGGCCCATGGTCCAGCTGTCATCCTGACACTTCCCTTTTTTAAATTATTTTGAGCATTTCTTTTGCGTCTCTTTTTTGTTGGATCTTCTGTTTCCTAAACTTCATATTTTCCTCTTGATTTTGTTTACTCATTTGGTTTAATGGAGGTTATCTTGCCATACTATCCTGAGAAAAAGCTCGTGAAAGGTAAAAACGTTTGAGACCTAGCATGAATGAAATGTCTTTATTTTTAACAGCAATTGGATGGTAGGGTATAGAATTCTAGGTTAGAAATAATTTTCCCTCAGAAATGTAAAGGCATTGCTTCTTTTCGTCCAGCTTCCCATGCTGCTACTGAGAAGTTTGACACTAATACCTCCTCTGGGACTCCAGGTTGGTTTGTTTGCTTTTTCCTCCCTGGAAGGTTTTGAGGTCCTCTTTTCTTCCTAATGTTCTGAGATTTCATGATGATGCACCTTAGAATAGGGTCTTTTTTCATCCAGTGTGCAGAATGAACCTCAGCTGAAAACATTTCAATATGAACACACATTTCCTTCAGTTTTGAGAAATTATCATATACATTCTTATTTTAGTTATCCCCTCCCTCCATTTTTTTCTGCTCTTTATAGAACTCGTGATTCAGTCATTGGATCACTCAAACTGATCTTATTTTCTTATCTTTCTTTTTTTTCCTTCTGTGATATGTTCTTAACTTTGCCTTTGAACTCTTCTGTTGAATTTTTACATTTCTTCTATTATATTTTCAAATTTTAAAGTTCTTTCTGGTTCTCTGATTGCCCCCTTTCTCCTGTCATTTTTGTTATGCTTTGTTTTTAAATGGCATCCTGTTCTTGTTTCATGGATGCAATCTTTTCTCTTACTTCTCTAGGATATTAATTATAGTGTTTGAAGTTTATTTTCTATTTCCTACATTTTCATCTCCCTGTGAACTCTTTTTGTTTGTACTTCACATTCATGACTTTTCATAAATAGCTGTCTATCCATTTTCAAGAGTGAGGCGCTTGCCTGACCGGTATGGCTCAGTGGTTGAGCATCGACCTATCAACCAGGAAGTCATGGTTCAATTCCCTGTCAGGGCACATGCCCAGGTTGTGGGCTCAATCCCCAGTGTGGGGTGTGCAGGAGGCAGCCAATCAATGGTCCTCTCTCATCATTGATGTTTCTCTCTCCCTCCTCTGAAATCAATAAAAATTTTTTTTAAAAATGAGTGAGGCTCTTGAACCCGCTGTAAATGGGCAAAGCTTATTGACTGTTGTGCTTCACAGTAATGCCATATTTCTTTTGGGGATAGGGACCTCCAAATGTCATTATTTGAAAATCTATTCTCTTAAGCTGGTCAGTCAATCAGATAAATTCTTTTGTGGGGCCGTTTATAAACCTGACTTCTAGCCTTCTGGGAGTTTTTTAAAGGAAAGGGGCTGGAAGCTGGGGGTGAGGGTAGTTCATCATTCCTTATAGAGACTTCCATATAAACCTCTCCGCCTCCCTATCTTCAGCTCTGCCTGGTGCACCAAGCCCAGATCCTTTGACGCAGCTTCTCAAGAGAATAAACTTCCTGGCCTTGTCTAGGGTGGTGGAAGGGTAGTCACATGGCTGTGCTACGTTGGGAAGAAGATCTGGGGATCTAACTAGTCATTAAAAAGACTTTCAAACAATCTTTTCTTTCCATCCATACCTCTTACTCCCTTCTTCGGGGGCATCTGGTGCCTCTAATTTCAGAGTTTTCCAGGGTTCTGGGGTATGATTTATCTTCCTTCCTTCAGCCTTCTTTGATTTGTCCCAATATGAGCAAGCCTGAATCCTGATTCAGGAGCAAAACAAGAGTTTGAAGTCAAAGTCAGAGAAATGGTGCCTATGGTCAGATACAAAAGATGAGCAAAAACCAAGAAAGGCTTCTACAACTGAAAGAGTAATCATATTAAAGTCTCAGTCTTTGTCGTCCTTGTCTACATATTTCTCCATGTGAAATTACTATACTTTGAGAATATGTGCTGAAGAGGAGTAGTAGTTTCCTCTGCTGATCCCAAGCTATGCCCTGAGGGAGCAGCAAGGCTATCTGGAGGTTATAGAAAGGTTGAGATGTGTGTCCAGGCTTCAGGACTAAGGTCAACAACAATGTGAGGATGGAGAAGGTCCAATTTTATGTGGGTCTTGATTTAGAAATGCACAAGAGGGTCCGATGTCTTAAAGGACACTGGGGAGGGGGGGTGGGTTGTGGTTTCCAGCTGCCCTGTCCAGTTGGCTTTTGAAGACTGGCTGGTCGATAGAAATCTACTGGTTAGGGACATTTCACTTTACTACACTAAATATAGTGGGCCTTTACAAAACTTGGAGGCCTTTTTACACAAAGAGAATGCTGTTAATATGCTCTCCATCCAAGGGCATGAGCTCTGGGTTGTTGTTCCAGTGGGATGTGCTGCAAGACTCAGCCAGACCAGCAATCTGCTGCCAACTTTGGCCCCTAGGGAGATTTCAAAAAGGAATGGTTGTGTCCCTAATATCACATTTAATAACCTTAAATAACGGTAGGTATAGCTTAGCTTCATTTAAGAGATGACTCAGAGTTGGTACACAAGAAATTTACTGAAGAAAAGAAGGAAGGAAGGAAGGAAGAAAGAGAGGCAGGCAGACAGTCAGGAAAGGAGGAAGGAAAGGATTTTAATTCCCATTTATAGCTTTGTCATCCAGAAATTTTAGTGTAATACAACAACAACAACAACAATAATAAAATTAAAAGTGTAATACAGAGATTTAGTATTAAAAGGTGTTGAAATCCTAGTGGAGAGAGGAACTTGAAGATCCAGTGGAGTCAGGAAGTGACTTCACTCTCTGATCGTGAAAGAAAAGCAATGGGGGCAAAGGAAAGAAACAGAGAAACAAGATGGTGACTGCTAGCCAGAGGAATTTAAGTTCCCCTCCTCCCGGTGACGGTGACGCTGAAGAGATTCCCACAACTCTCTCAGCATCTGGAACTTATTTGACTCTGGGTGGAGGAAGGCAAGTGACAGCTAGTGGGACCAGTGGCTTTCTGGAAGGATGGGATAGAAAAGCTCAGGGCCTGACAGCTAGAGAGCTGAAGAAGAAAGGAAATGATCATCAGACAGAAGCAGAACTGAAGGGCCTCCTGGCTGCTTCCGGTATCAGCACATGCAGTGGTGTCCCAAAAAAACAAAGTCTCCAAAGGTGAAGAAATAGTGTCAATGCTACTGGTGAGGTCAATGAGTTTTCCAGACATAGATGACCCAGGGGTTCTTAGCCTCTTCAAAGCCTTGTGTGCTAGACAGTATATTCTGTTTGGGGAAAAAAACACACCCACAAAATACAACCTAATGTAACTGTCATAGTCCCACAGAAACCAACACTGAGATGGATATTTGCATGCAGGAAGTTTACTGGGGAGTGCCCAGGGATTCAATACCAGAACAGGAGTGAAGGAAGTAGGATCAAATAGAAAGAGGAATTGAACTGCAATGTCGTCATAGCAAAGGTCTCTCGGCCAATACTGTGAGGAAAGAGGACTGAGAGCAAAGAGGGCTGGGCCTTTATACCTGGGCAAGGACTAGTCATTAGGTGTAGGCTGCCTATCAGCTCTGGCAAGGCGACTTTCTTCAGCTGAGGACAGTATCAGAAGAGAGACTCGCCTGAGAGCTATCAGCTGCCAATATTTCTAGCAGCGGGGGAATTATTGCCTCAATCCAGAATGGAGGATCTGAGTGGCACACCATGGCACCTATTACAGCCTACCCTTTGTACTGGATCCAGTCACTTTTTATAGTACGTACTAGGAACAGCTCCTCTCAGATCCTGGTTGGTCTCTTTTCCTGGGGGAACAGTGAGACAAACGACAGTCCCTGGTACTGCTCCTAGTTAGAGGGTTGCAACTAATACTCATTGTCTCACTGTTTTTAAACCTATTTTTGTTTCCCTCACCCATGGTTCTGTTGTCTAGATGGCTTATCTGGTGGGCCTCTGATACCATACCCTTCTCAGGCTGTGGCTGCTCCATTTACTGTCAAAATTGGGCAAAGAACTACCCAATTACCAGCACTTCTAAACCCACAGAATCCAGAGTTGCTGGGACAAGAAGCATAAATACCACAAGTGGGTCACTGTGAGTGATGGTAAGCAGAGCTCAGGGTCACTCCTACTTCCTTCCTTCCGTTGGATTCCAGAATCGTGTATTATACCTTTTGAGAACACAAGTTCATATAATAATTGTTAACTTCTGGTGTATTCTGCAACTTGGAAGATGTTATTGCATAGTACCACCTCCAAAGTGGAAGCTCAATTGCACCTTCAAAAGATGCAACTGAGCTTCATCACCTGTCAAGCTGGCAGTTTCTGTGAGTGTGGTATGAAATAGAAAGACTGGATCCCATGCTCATGTGCCACTATTACAGCTACTTTGTTATGAAATGGATTCCTGGGTTCAATAAAAATATTACACAGGACTCCATGTTGGTGGCTCAAACACTCTATATGCCCTCAGATAGTGGTGCTGGTTGAGGCCCTGAGGACAGGAAAGGCAAACTCCACATCTAAGATATGTATTTATTGCAGTCAAAATTAATCACTGCCCCATCCAATGTAACTTGCTATCAAATGGCTGGTTGGTCTCCTGGAAGAATGGCGGGGTATCGGGGGCCCAGTGTTGGTCTCACTTGGTGGCAGGTTGGACAGAGGGAGGAGTAAACTGATGCAGTTGTAACAAAGGCTTCCAAAGAGAGTTCTGGGCTCAGATGACCCTTCAGAGGTGCCCTTCTTTGAGGCCTGGGAGTCTGGGTCCTTTATCCTCTATTATTGGCCAGTTAGAAGTGGCTGTCCCCAAGGAGAGGGGCATGATCTTGGGCAAGGCACTTTCTTCAATTGAGAGAAGGCAATTCTTAGAGAGACACTCATCTAAGAGCTGTCAGCCAACTTCCATAGCCAGTGGGAGAATGAGTGCCTCAGTCCTGAAGGAGAGATCTAGGTGGGCAGCATACCACAAAATACACTACAAACTAAATGGTAGGGATTTCTGTTCTAAATTTCACTATTCCTAAGAGTTCTGGAATGGGGATGGACTGGAGGAGGATAGAGAATTGTAAGATATGTCACCTGCCAAATTTCATAGTTGATTATCTGGAAAATTTTATTGAAAACTGCATATACTATGATTTTATATGTATTTAGCCAAACTTAGAGTTGAAACAAGCAAAACATTTTAAAACAGATAAACAAAAAGCACAAATAATGCCTTTATTATAAGATATGCACAGTTTACAAAATTCTGCTTGCTTGCTTTTAAAATATTTATTGTTGTATAGACATAATATTTACATAGTCATATCAAGAAGTTTTGATACTATTTTAATTTCTGTTTTTTCTTTTCCATTAATATGCATTGTTCATAAGTTTATTGTTATCAATTCAATATTTTACCATATTAATATATCAATGTTTTTTAATAATAACTTATTCCCTCTATTTGGGGCATTTGACTTATCTAGTCAATAATAAGTAGTGCATATATAAGAAATAGTTTAAAAATTTTCTCTTTTTTTTGCCCCAAAGTGGGATTAACAGATGTAGTCTCATGCTGCTTTTTAAAAAGGTTTTTTCCAGTTTTTAGTACTATAACCAATGTTTAAATACCTATTTACCCATTATTATGCTTACATTGGCTTTTTCTCACTTTTACTTTTGATGGTAGAGTGAATTGTTACCTCATCATTGTTTAAATTCAGTTTCCTTAATTATTAGTGCGACAGAGAACTTTTCAAAGTTCACAATATTTGAACAATTGTGCATGTACCAATTAAATGTTTCTTTAATCTTTGTATGTTTTATTATTTATATTTTGGTTATTTATCTCTCCATAGAAGGGTACTGATCTTTTATATTTTTATTAGTCCCTTACATATGATAGGCAATAAACTTATTTGACATTTATTTTCAGTAGTTTCTCATTCTATTGCTCTTTATAATGAATTCACTTTTTAATTAAATAGTTGAATTTGTGTTTTATAGCATAAAACCCATTGACCCTGCTATTAATGATTTCTTTAAATGCTTCAATATTCCAAAAGTTATATCTTGCTTTCTGTTAGTAAGTTTGTTATTGTATTGTCTTCTATATTTTATGATAAATTTTTGAAATTTTATCTTCAAATTAAAATAGATTTCACTTTAATTATTGAGCTTCTGAATCTATTTTGGCATGTAGTATAAAGTGTGGTAATATATTTACATTCTTTTAAATGATATCCAGTTTCTCCTAAATTGTTTAGTAGGGACTTATTTATTCATTGCTTATTTCACCAAATTTTTTATATATTAATTTATTTTATAGATTTGAATTTATTTCTGAAATTTCTGATTTGCTTAATTAGTCTACTTTTTAAAAGTAGTATTATAAGACTTTCCCCCCTTAAAAAGTTAAGTAATTTTGGTTTTAAAATATATACATATGACCATAGGAATATGCATATGAATACAGAGATATAAAAAAGATCTAGAAGGTTAACCTTGGATGGCTAGATTATAGATGAACTTTATATTTTTCTTTTCATTTATCTATAAATTCTAATACATATTAAATTACAATGAACACATATCATGTGTTACAAAGGGAGAAACTATTCAAATAAAATAAAGAAAACAAAAATATTCACATAATAAAATACAATTATTAAGAAAAGAAAAAGAAGGGGCAAGTTGGGGAATAAGTCACAGTAAGGGCAAATTTGGGTAAACCACAGTTTCTCCCAAGTCCCCCCCCCCCCCCGCTTTTTTTTCCAAGTCCCTTTTTATGTGACTAAA